ACCGACGCCGCAGGACGCCTCGCAGCCAGTAGATTTGGCGACCTTGATTTCAGCAGAAGGGCCGGCTGTCGCAGCGAGGTCCATCCGAACCTCCACCGAGGCGGCGTTTGTCGGACTCGCAGGGCTGTCGTCAACATCGGCGAGACGAAGGTGAGCCCGTTCCTCGCATGAAGGCCTCAACCAGAACCCTCCCCTTGAACTCTCGCATCCACGCAATCACCCAAGTCAGACATTACGTGACGCTGCCCCTCCGAGCCGTGGACGCGCTCTTGCGTGAGCATCATGAACTCCCGTTACCCCCCTTCCGCGGAGCCATTGTATTTGTCAAGTGTATTCTTGTGTTGTTTATTTTTTTTCTTCAGCAGCAGTTGCAGAGCGAGGCTGAGGCTAGCTGTTGCCCATTGCATGACGCCTTTATATGTATGGGCGACGACCGGCTGCCTTTGCAGACCGGTATATAGGGTGAATTAAGGAGAGGAGGATGTGGGAATCTGGGGCGCGCCAGCGACCATTTCGCGGGCATTCCGCCACACGGCCACACCCTTTTGCTTTCCTGCTCCGTTAACACCACGTGGCGATAGATGGCGCCACGCGCGGGCACTACGCGCGCCGAGGGAGCGGTCTCTTGCTCCGTGGCCGGCGCTGGGTAAGCACGCGTTTTCCTTCGTCCGCGTCCCCTTTGGGAAACGCGGACTATAGCCTGCCCGGGGTGGCCTTGGGCACCCCGGCAGGCGTGTTTACTTGAGTGCTGGCTTCGGTAGCGTACGCTAAGCCCAGAGCGGTGCCTAGTGCTTGAAGTTGTCGTACCACAACGCGCCGCACTTGCGTTAGGCCTACGCGTACGAGGTTTGCCCTAACACTCGCGACCAGGCCCATTGGCCATCGTGAGAGTGCGCAGCATAGCCGCGAGGGACCTTTTCCCGACCGGCGTGTCAAAGCTCGCCATTGCCAACTGCGACGTGCTCGCGGTTTTCCCCTTATTGTGAACATGTCCGCGTGCGGGTGCCTTTGCTACCCGCGTCCCGGGAGCGGACGTTGTACTGTTGTTCGGAGTGCCGCCAGAGGCAATAAAGTGTTGTGTACTTTTACATTAGAACACTGTCTATTTGCCGCGCCGCGCTAAACGCCTTATCAGTTGAGCGCGCGCGGAGCGGTGCACTACACGCGAGTAAACGGAGCAGCGGCCTTGTGGCTCGCTCAGCGTGAATTCGCGGTGATCGTCCGCTGCAGTTAGTAGCGGGGTCACCACAGAGTGTCACCAAAAGTTGATAGATTCTGTAGCTTTTCAAACTGTTCTTTTTCTCGAACTTCAAGGAGGAGGTCTCCGCTGGCCATTTTGGTAACTTTGTACCCGGCTCCAAGGGTTTCTGTGAGACATCTGGCTACTACAAAGGGTGATACGGTTCTGGCTTGCTTGCTGCTTATCTCACTATGTATAACATGAAAATGGGGGAAGTTTTCACTTGATCGGTTGAAAAAGCCTAAGTCTTCGGTGCGTACACGCTTTAAGGCGGTACGATCACTTAATAAGGGAAATACTTTATGCATGCCAGTTTAATTTTCTTCAGAAGCGTTGACGGCCACCCACCACGGAGCCCAACGAGGGGACGCTACAAGTTTGCGGGTGCTGAAACCTGCAGACGCCAGCCATACAACGCAACTATAACCCAATGCACCTAGACCAAGGTAGGCTATTTGCACAGGGTTAACCCTAGCCGCCAGGAAGTTTGGAAGTAAACGGAAGAGAGTAGAAGACAGGACAGATAAATCGTAAGAGATAAAGACGAAGATGTAGGGAGAGGGAGATGGGAAAAGGCGACTGCCGATTTCCCCTGGGTGGGTCAGCCCAGGGGTGCCGTCTACGTGAAGCCGGGGCCAAAGGGGTGTGTTGCCTCTGCCGGGGGGCCTTGACGGTCCAATCACCCAGCGTCGGCTCAACCCCCAGGATCCCCTTTTCCCCGGACACGGCAAAGCCACGCACGGCTAGGCGTGGGAGGGAGTAGAAACTCCCCCGTTAGCTCGGGTCCGTGGTGTCGCTACACACCAAACGCCTACTTGCGCAGGCGCCCCTGCGGGGGATTTCTTGGCTTCTATATGTTGCCTTTTCTTCATAGAAAATTCATAGAAAAATTCATAGAAAAATCTGTTCTTCATGGAAAAATTCATAGCCGAGAAATACCACAGTTATAGTGTAATCACCTCAACATGGTATCATCTGCATTCAGTAACTCATGCAGCTAACAAGCCTTTTAGTGTGTAGTACATTTTAAACAGAATGGTAACACTACAGCCCAAACATTACAGTATTACTGTCAGTCCTAGAACATTCTATCCTCCCTGTCTCACTCCATGAAGGTTAAATGCCTTCAAGACTGCTGGTACCTCTACTGTGTCGCATGCCTTTTTGTAACATATGAAAGTGACTGTCACGAATAAAGATATGGTGCAGACAACGAAGGCAACAATGCTGAAGAGGCACAAGCACGTGCATGAAAGAACGCGACCCGAGCCGTAATGGACGACGATCGTGCGATGAGGGGCATTGCTTGCGTGGCTGCGGACGATGAAGGTTGCATTGGCAGGTACGCTCTGATTGATATGTGGGGTTTAACGTCCCAAAACCACTATATGATTATGAGAGACGCCGTAGTGGAGGGCTCCGGAAATTTAGACCACCTGGGGTTCTTTAACGTGCACCCAAATCTGAGCACACGGGCCTACAACATTTCCGCCTCCATCGGAAATGCAGCCGCCGCAGCCGGGATACGAACCCGCGCCCTGCGGGTCAGCAGGCAGGTACGCTCTGCTGACGGGTGCAGTGCGTGTTTGGTTTTGAAGCCCGTGATGCTGGCACTTTGTGGCGTGCCTGTTGACATCGTCGATGCCCAGGCGAGGCTCCTTGGAGGTGCTGCGGCATATTTTGGCTGTCACAGACGTACTAGCAGCAATCCTTCTTCGAACGTCGGCCAGCGGCAATCCCCTGAATGCCACAGTGTCACTTCGAGGTAAAGGCCGATCTCGCACTAAGCCTACCTGACGAAGACTCAGTGCCACATCATTGATGGCAACCGTAAAAAGGCTTGTAGCAGTGCAGATGACCGTGACGCATCAGAACGACGATAGAAGAGCATCGTTGGCAACATCGACCACGGGCCCACCACAAAAAAGGTTAGAATTTCAGCAATTGACGTTCTATTCGGTCCACCCCGCCGCGGTGGTCCAGTGGCTAAGGCACTCGGCTGCTGACCCGCAGGTCGCGGGTTCAAATCCCAGCTGCGGCAGCTGTATTTCCAATGGAGGCTGAAATGGTGTAGGCCCGTGTGCTCAGATTTGGGTGCACGTTAAAGAACCCCAGGTGGTCGAAATTTCCAGAGCCCTCCACTACGGCGTCTCTCATAATCATATGGTGGTTTTGGGACGTTAAACCCCACATATCAATCGTTCCATTCGGCCTACGACCCGATGGCAAGGTCAAGGTGACCAGACTGAGTTTAGCGACTGTAGTTAGACATAGTTAAAAGCAGATTATTGTAATGTCAGTTTATTTTTAGAGATTTTTTTTGTAGATTCTAGGGTTCTTTTGACTGTTTGTTGCTAGTTTATCGAGTATTGAGTTTTTTCACAGGTTTTTCCTTGGTCATTACTAAATGTTGTTTGCTATGCCGCCCAGCATCCTCTTGATCTATCTCCACTAGCACTCACCCCCAAGATCCATGTGGCAGTGACATAAAAAAGTTTGCTGTACTCAGCAGACTTTTCATTTGGTTTTCCACATGGCAGGCATTTACTGTAGACCTTCACTAAAGCATGCTTGCCCCTTTGGTTGACAGAAGTCAAGTGTTTCTCTTGTCCTACTAGAAATAATCTGTGTATATTTAGCATAATTCTAAAAACAAGCCAACGGTTATAGAATTTCTTGTTGCATTTTTTCTTTTGAACCAATATTCATATTGGTGTTTCTCCAGCTCAATGACACATTTGAGGTTGTGAGACACTCTCTGTCGAGTACAGGAAGTTTCTCAAATATGTAATCCCTTCCTCTTTGAGTCACTAAAACTGCATACAAGGTAATATTTTGAGCAGCATGTTTAGTAATATTACACCTCGTATTTGCAATAATTTCAATTCCAACTACGTAGGCTTACTGTCAACACAACTTTTGTCTTACAAAATCATGTGACTAAACGCAATGAGCCCCCCCCCCCCCCCCCCCCTGCACTGCCTTATTATTCATAACACAACTCAGGTACACCCCTCTGCAGCCCACAACACCAACATAGTAAAAAAAAACACAATCCCACATAAAAAAAAACATGCTTAGGTATCCTCAACTACTTGTTTTTTTACTTTGCTTATAAGTATTAGAAAAATATTTGAGAAATACTTAAAAAACATTTCATCTGATTGACACACATACTTTAATATTCGAATATGCTTTGCACCAATAATTTTGCTCTATGCACAGCTTTAATTGAAGCAGAATTTGACAAAAAATTCAAGGGTTCTCAGGGAAGGAAAACAATTCCAGAGCTTTCAAAGGCCTTGAAAGTGTCATTTTGAATTTGAATCGTTTCCAAGGTTTCAAGGACTCGTGAACAGCTTGATCTGAAGAGCCGGGCATGTGCGCATGCTACACTCCCACACAGAGGTACGTTTCTGGCACAAAGTAAAAACAGCTTTTATTCTGTGGAATTAGAGATGAGCCCCTTTATAAGAGGCATGCTCCGTGCAGCCAATGTTGTCTTCTATATGAGATGTCTCTTATAAGCAGGGTACCATGTATGCATTTCCTCACCAAATCATATTTTACTGTAGGCACACTGGTGTATCTTATACCCGTTTGTCTCTTAAATCACTGGCTCTTATAAAGGAGTTCAACTGTAATTCAGTCGCACATTGGCACTTTAGATGACTTCACACTAATGCCACATTGGCTATGCAACCACACCAACACTGCACACAGAGATGTCAAGCTTCATCAACGAATCAAGAAAACTCACATGTCAGCATCTTCATCACGCTGGTTCGTCTCTACTGAGAATGTATTGCCCAAGTTGACAGCATCCAATTCGTCCATGGTGAACCTGAATGGAGAGCGTTGGGGAAAAAGGTTATGAATGGAAGAGTTCGCCTTTACTTGAAAAGATCATTTTACTTTAATCTCCTAAATGAACAAGGGTTTCGGTTCTTTCGGCAGCTCCTGTAATTTTCACAACACTAGGCTACCGACAACAGAGCTTCAAAGGAGCTCTTTTATATTATCACGATCCCACATGACCAGAGACAAAATGTTAAAGAGATGTACCTTAGTTTTAACGCTATCTTTCATAGTCTTCAAAAGTCTTGCCGTTGCTTTTTTTGTTTAGTACTACACTTGACTGAATTCATTTAGTACAGTTTCGCCTATTCTGGGTCCCATTAAAAACATAATGTTCAGAAAAACCTTTCCGGTTTATCTCAATCACCTCCCGTCGTGACTTCTTACATTTAGAAAATAAATATCTTCTGGCACTTTGATAATTATGGTTTCAAGGTTCTTCTACATCCTGCTACTAAAGCAGCATTGTCAACATAATGCAAGTAGTTTAACTTTCCAATTTTAACTCCTACATTGCTTGTTTCTAGAACTGACTTTCTGAATCCACATTCTGCTGAGTTCCTGAATACAGTTGCCGACTGATTTTGCAGACCTAACGCGGACTGCGAAACAGTGCGAAAAATTGAGCAGTCCAAAAAAAATGGTTAGATGATGATAATTAAGTTATTCTGCATTAGGGCAGCAAAAAAAATTCCCCAATAATGCGTGATGCTCTACTTGGGGAAGATCAGATATAGGTGCACTTGGGCTACGATAACATCATCAGAGTGTCTGCAATTGCTGGGCTTTTTTTTTACTCAGCACTGACATTTCAAGAATGCAAGCATCCAGAATTTCACCTCCATCGAAACGCTACTGCCACTGACGTGATCAAACCTGCATATTTCAGGTCAGTAGCCAAGCACCATAACCACTGATTTCTACTGAGCAGCCACAACCGCAGAGAACATATGACACGCATGACAGCTCAAAAACACTTGACACACCATCAACATGACCACGTCGAGAACGTCAACAGCAACAAAAAAAAAAAAAACTACCCAAGTATTAATGATGACAATAAGACCGGCTGAAAAAGAAAATTTGTGTTGCTTAGACCGTTTTGCCAACCAAGTGAGATCAGGACACCCTCAGAAACTGGAAGCTTGTATGCACTTCCAATCTTGGAAGCCACATGACTAGCCACTACAAGCCAAACTCGACCTCGCCAATGCACAATCCAACATGGCCGCTTCCTAAATTAAGGCACATGGCTCAAAACGAGCGACTTAGTAAAAAAAATCTAACTTTAGGGCATAAGTATGTCTAAAAAATCGATCGTGAAAATGCATTAGTGCTATAACAACCTTGACGGTGCATTTATGAAGTCTGGTGCATTTATGAAGTCTGACATATACAACAAGTTTAAATTCTCGGAGTCCAAAAAATTCGTCGGTGACTGTTCACATTCTGAAAAAAAGAAAAAAAAACCAACTTAATTGACACTTATTTGAACCTGAAAGGGCACCAAATGGCACCGAACACTTCCTAGCACCTTTCAAATGAACATATATATTGTGTACAGATTGCCATGGTGGTCATATCTGACAAAAGCAAAATGAACTAATACCAACACAACTTGAAGAGAAAACAATAGCCTGCTTAAAAGACTTCATCGTCCAGAAGGGCGGCACATTTTTGCGCCATCGCCCAATCTGCAGCTGCTTGAGAAGTTGTAGAGAGCTATTCCCCGCGCCGATAAACTTCTGACCAAGACATGCAAGATGTGTAATGTGCATTTTATGCAACATGACATATAAAAACTTACAAGCATGGTATTGACGGCTAGGTTGTTGAAATAGACCATGGCTGCTGGGCATTAACTCCTGAAGCCATGCCATGTCAATTTCCTAATGTTCCAAGCTATTTATCAAGAACAATCAAGAGGTGGTGGTCGCCTAAGGATATCTAAACCAGTTTACCCAAAAATGTCGTACTTCTTGCTATGCCATCGGTGGATTACCAGCAAGAGGTTCCCGATTCTGTGCACGCCGTCGATTTCGCACAGATTGTCAAAAATGGCTCATCTTTAAAGCTCCGGAAAAACTGGAGAATGGCAGACTCCTTGAGGAGGATGGTGGTAAACTTCTGCAGGTTGTCTTTTACAACACGGGAATGAAGGACATGTTTTACGCGATCCTGAAGAGCGTCGCGATTCACGAGGACCTTACAAACTTCATCCATGCAAATAGAAGACTGTTGCGCTGCTGGGATTAACATATTTTCTGTGCAAAATGTGAAAGCGATTATACAAACTGTATACGCAAAACAATTTGGCCATGTTTGCCCTCCTATCGATGTCACCAACTCCAGCAGAGTGATAAAAATGTTGGAGGTGGGCTTCATCATAATGGCATTGTTCTGACTGATGTAGATAAAAAAGTGTGTCCTGCATGTGCCAAGTTTACAAAAAGTTTAAAGCAAAAGGCAACGTCCACACAGTGAAAGAGAAAGGTGCCCATAGCAGCTTTCTTTGGCGACTTATTTTGGGATGTGCTAAATGCTCTAGTAAAGAGAGGCACAAATATTGTGGGCTAATCCGAGCATTCTAATCAGTTTACTGCTCAAAGAATTCACTTTTATTCAACAGCTCGTATGCACTTCACACAAGCCAGATGCTTAGAGAACAACAGTGCGGTTCGGGCACAGAAAGAGCCCGAGAAGGCACAAGCTTCTTTTCGAACTTCTTTTCAGTAACGAATTTTTTCAGTAAACCTGCCGACAATTCTGTGCCGTATGTACATGTGTGTAAATAAAGTTATGTTATTAATTTTGAACCCCAACGTTCTATGCTTTCCTTTGTCATGTAACACGTTATCCTTTTCGCCATGTTTGAATAAATTGAAAAAATTTAAGTTGCTTTGCATTTTCAAACAGCCTGAATGTGTAATGTCGATCAGTACAGTGCAAGGTTTACAAAAACGTCGCTTTTGCGATGTAGCACATATTATGCATTTGACTATTCTCTTCTTTAGCTATCATTCTGAATGATATCTAGTCAAGAGTGAACCCACTCTTGATTGAATTGCTCTAATGATAATGAATGCACTGTAATTGCTGTAATTATATGTGTACGTCAGTTTTCTATCAATTGGCGATGCGTTTTCCCACAGGAGAAAAAAAAGACAAGGAATAGCACTGTTTCATTCATCCTACTCTAAATTAAATAGTTGCCAAGTTCTCATGTTACATAATCCCGAGTGGTATAAGTTTAAGATTCGTATTTTTTAGCTCGCTCAGTTGTAAACTACTAATGTGGTCTTGATGCAATAGACACAGGAAAGCGCAGGACGAAGCGAGCACTTTGTCACTGTGCGAAACGGATACCTGCAAAGTACGTGGTTTTTTTTTCAAGTTCGTGAGTCATACAACCCGCACGAATCAAAGCATGTCTCCTCTGTTAAATATCGAGAGTAACGACCAAGCAAACTGTATGCACAATTCTCACTCGGGCGCTTGCAAAGGCTCAAGTGACACCCTTCGCGCTAGCAGACGACTCTCACTCTCCTAGCACAAGGCGTGAATACAGGGCTGCGGTGGCGGGTGCGGCGATGGGCCGCCTTCTCCCTAGGCGCGACCAGAGAAGTTGCGAAACTGAAAAAGTATCTATAAACATTGGCCCACACAAGCTCTTCTTTACTGCCAACACTTAAGAAACCTGGCCCACAGAATGTCGCTATGTGATACCTTCTCTTCTTCACATTGCACGCTTGCACACATTTCGCCTTCTAGAATGCTTTTCTTTCTAACGGCATTCTCAAAGTCATGGTCACTAAGCTTTGCCCTTTGAATGTGTTCTTGTTAGATACTACCAAACTTGCTGGAATAGAAAGGGGGTGGTAGGAACGATGTTTAAAAAATTGGCCCAAATCTACATGTTACACTGTAAATGTCGTCGAAAGACGATAGTCTTGCGTCTGCAGAGAGTGAAAAAAACGTTTATTTGATGTTCTGCACAAGAAAATCAGTGAATGGTATTCTGAAGGCGCTGTCATTTGAGTGCCTCGAGCGTGTAACGGAGGCGAACAAGCGCATCTAGGCACGTTATACACGAGCGCCATCTGGCAGTTATCTTCGAAAACGAACGCATGCGCGACCGCAGAGAAAGATGCGCGCCAGTCACAGAAATAATAAGGTGTAGAATGCAAAGCGACGGGCAGGTGCCACCACTGTGCCATCGTAGCAAAGCATTAGAAACACCTTCTTGAGCATCACATTGCACTGTCAGCGCAGCACGTTAAATGATACAGTCCTTGGAGTTACTTGTATGCGCCTCTTCTAATATAAAAGCAGACATACAAAACCTAGACATGTTGTTATGGCGCCTCAGATATGCGCAATATTTTCTTTTTCAATTGACAATCGCACAACTATGAATGCTAAACCTTGAGCAATATTGGTGGGTGCTGTGGATGGGGTTGGCCACTTGAAGCCTTTGAGGTATCGTTAGGGCGGACAAACAGACAAATGTACAGACAGACAGACCAAAATTTTTCCATCGAAGGTCCCCAAGAAAGGCTATCATCTTTAAAATAAAATAGAAGGCATGAGATGTGCTCACATTTGTCTGAGCCCAAACCAATCAAAGTACCAATTAAGAAAAATGAGCAGTAACAAATTACTCAATGAAAACACTTAAAGTGCGACATGACTTAAGAGATAACGATAAAGAAATGTCCAAGAATATAAAAGAAAGAAATCTTCCTGATTGTACACACAAGTCGCTGTTGGTTCTGAAGCCCTGAAGTTCTGAGGAAATTATTTTTGAACACTTTTGAGAGCGTCCACCAAACAATGATAGCACAGATCATATTGTTACGTACAATCCAAATGGTGTACGAATAACTGTTTATTGGGGCGAACTTGTGCCCGAAAAGTAGCGGCGTCTGTAACAGGCAATCAGCAAAAAGGGATCAATCTCCGAGAGAGAAAAACCCTCGAGTGGTG